ATAGATATCGTTATCGCCTGAAATGAAAAAAACATATCGTGATATGAAAAAATCTTATATCGCCCAGCTCTATTTCTCAGGTGGTCTCTAATGTTTTCTTGAAACTCACCCAGGTCAAACCTCTTGACTTATGTCTGTGTGGATAGCAGCTAGCGCTGCCACGATTAGTCGACTAACAAAATCATCGACAACAAATTTGATAGTCGACGCGCCGTTTAAAGCCTTGTAAGACCAGAAAGATGCAGGAATAAGTAGTAGGATTTAAGAGTGTAATAACGGACTGAAACAGGAGATGGCAGCACTGCATGTACAAGGATGCCAGCTGCCATTAAACACTTAAACCCCCGCGGAGCCATCATTTTGCGTTTCTACCTTTAAAAGCCGGAGAGCAGTCAAATGCTGGAAGTGGAAGCTAAATTGGCTAGTCATTCATATGTAAATTAGGTTGTTACCTGGGAATTCTGGAGGGAGGGGAGTGGGGGTGTGTGGATGAGGGGGTGGGGGAGCTGCTAAAAGCTGTGAACTTCCCTTTTGTGTTTCATCTTGATGCATTCTCAATCATCCAGGGAAATAAATCTCCAAAAGTCACCAATTTGGAGTGTTTCAGTTTGCCATCTTAGGGAGAAATCAACACACATGGGTGTAGGTCCTTTGTTGCTGAGATTTATTGATGAAAACAGTACAAAAAAACCAACCATTTGCACACATATTTACAAATAATAATAGAAAGTGAGTGAGTACATTACAACATTTTCAGCAATCACTCACAATCCTGGCATCCATCACATCCACGCCACACTTTGTTTTGTTGTAAAGGGTGACAGTGTTTGGCTTCCTTTTGGTGGTGTTATCAGTCTGAACCACGCTGTGCATGCTGCTAACAATATAGACTGTCTTCTCCACAATGGACGACTGATCAATGGTCCATTGTGGCATCAATCAGACCACTGGTATAATAAAAGCATAATCACAACTGATAAGTTCGCTGCAATTTCCAGTGTGTGGGGATCATTTGTCACCAACTATGGAAATAACAATTTATCTTATTTCTTAGGTGTTTTCAACCTCTGCTGCCACGCTGACGGCGTATGCAGCCAAACGGAAGAAGACAGTCTATATTGTTAGCAGCATGCACAGCGTGGTTCAGACTGATAACACTACCAAAAGGAAGCCAAACACTGTCACCCTTTACAACAAAACAAAGTGTGGCGTGGATGTGATGGATGCCAGGATTGTGAGTGATTGCTGAAAATGTTGAAATGTACTCACTCACTTTCTATTATTATTTGTAAATATGTGTGCAAATGGTTGGTTTTTTGTACTGTTTT